TTTCCTTCTGCTTATCTGTATCTCTATGCACTCTTTCTCCATTCCTGCAGCCACACCGCCTGGGGCTATGACCTGGTGAGCTCTCCAAAGCTCAACGGGGTCAGGTCTGCTTAGTAATTGGATGAAGGTCCTCAGACGGAATATGTTGCAGGAAGTGATTCACTAGATGGCACTTTTCTATCTGCATCAATATTGAGCCCAATGTCCCAGCCTAAAGTTAGGGGTGAGAGATGAGATGCAAATCCAATGCCTCAATCGCACGTGGTCATTAAAAGATCCACTGGCATTGTCTCAAGGGTAGGATTGTTGACCTCAGTGCTCTGGGCCAGATTTCAACTACATTCTGCCTGACTCAATTCCCCACGTAGTTACAATTGGTTACAGTGCTGTTCACTTCCTGTTGCATGCAGTTAAACAGCTGCTGTGTTCCACCCTAGAGGCAGCTGCATTTCACGGGCAGTTGAGCAACCCCTACACGTACGGTCTGTAAAGTGCTCTGGGATCTTTCCATATGAGAAGTGCTATATAAAATCTGAAGTTATTGTTAAGGAAAAGAATAAAAAATATCTCCAGAGCTGAAGAGTTTCTGTACATGTGTAACCTACGCACGTGTGGGCATGGTGCTGTGGCACCAAGACCACTTACAGATTAATGAGTCTTAGCTAAGGCCCATGTGGCATTTAACTCCAGGGGTCCCAGGTTTGATCCTGCCCACCGACGACCGGGGTCTGTCGGTGTTACATATACTTGAATAAAAGTATCATCCTCCTTGCTTGTATGCACTGAGTGACTTACTAACCTTTATAAGCATGCTGAAGTTGTGCTCCAGGACATTGCTCATGTCTTTTGCTTGTAATTTCCTGCATGCTACTTTATTTGTATATTGTTGAATTTGGTAGCCTTCCCAAAGAGAAGAGCCAATGCACAGGTTCTGGCTCAAGTATTCAAGCTAGTCAGGACCTCTCTGTTAACACGCAATATTGGTTTCTGTCCTGAGAACATGTTAGGGTTTTGACTTGGCTTGTTAAATACTCTCCATATTACTAAGTGCAAATAAGTGATTGAGCAGCCAGAAGTTAAAGCCATATGTTCCCATTCATAGTAATCAAAATGGACTACGGTCCACGAAATCTGGTTAAAAAAACAACAACCGACAAGTAAAGTTATCGAGCCAGATCATCAGCTGGTGTAAACATGGCATAGAGCCGTTGAAGTCAATGGATCTACACCAATTTAAACCAGCTGAAAATCTGCCTCTATGGCTATATTTGTATTACAGCATGATCCTGGTTATCCAAACAACATGGCTGACACCAAATTTGTTTGGATAACTGGGATTGCATAGACAAGGAGTTAGCTTGTTAGGGAGATTTGTAAAGGGTCTCCAGGAGTGTGTTTTCCCAACAGTTATAGCTAGAGCCAGTTGGAACCTTTTCGATTAAATGTTTTTTGTCAAAAAATGCTGTTCCCTTGGGTTTCATGGAGACGTATCGATTTTGATGGGAAAGTTTCTGAGGTCTAGGGCGGGCTCTCTGGTCGCTTCCAAAGAGAGAAAAAGACCCGAATTGGAAACCTGAACTTTCTGATCCAAAGCTGGATGTTTCAACACTATTCCATTTCACAAAGACATTTGAAAAGTTTTGTATCCTTCCAGTGTGGAATGAAAGCAAAATGTGAAAGCTGTCATGTCATGGAATTGTTCTCCAGCCACTCTAGTTATGGGTCAAGTGCAAAAAGGAAGGTCTTCCCAGAGACTTAGCTACTGAACCTCGTGATCACAACCCCTTTCAGTTGACCCAGCCAAAGGCTAAAATGTTGCCGCCAACATTTCCAGCTGAAAAGCCAGTCATGAAAACAATCCTTTTAGGCAGCTCAGGGACCTGGCACTGAATTGGGCAAATAGACAAACCTTCAAGTTCACATAAGTATGAGGAATAAACAGGAAGAACTGGGAGTATTAATACATATGCTCAAGTATGATTTACTTGGCATCACAGACATGGTGGGATAAGTCTCATGACTGGACTGTTGGTACACAGGGGTATAGCTTGTTCAGGAAGGACAAGCAGGATAAAAAGTGATGAGGTGTTGCGTTGTATATCAAGAATATATACACTTGTTCTGAGGTCCAGAAGGAGGTGAGGGGCACACCAGTTGAAATTCTCTGGGTAAAGATAAAAGGAGTAAAGAATAGGGGTGATGTCAGGGTAGGGATCTACTAGAGACCACCAATCAGGAAGAGGAGGTGGATGAGGCATTTCTAGAACACATAACAGAAATATCCAAAACACAAGACCTGGTAATAATGGATGACTTTAGCTACCCAATCATCTGTTAGAAAAGTAATATGGCAAAACACAAAATGTCCAGTATAGTCTTAGACTGTATTAAGGAAAAACGTGTGTTTCAGAAAACAGAGGACGTTATAAGAGGAACAGTTATTTTAGACTTGATTCTGATCAATAGGGAGGAATTGGTAGCAAATCTGAAGGTGGAAGGCAATTTGAGTGAAAGTGATAGATTTCATGATTCTAAGGAAAGGCGGGAGTGAGAGCAGCAGAATAAGGACAATAGACTTCAAAAAAGCAGATCTCAACAAATACAGAGAACTGGTAGGTAAGGTCCCATGGGAAGAAAATCTAAGGGAAAAAGTTGTTCAGGAAAGCTGTCAGTTTCTCAAGGAGGCAGTTTTGAAGGTACAACTGCAAACTATTCTGGTGCGATAGAAAGATAGGAAGCACAGTAAGAGGGCAATATGGCTCCATCTGGAACTCTTGAATGACCTCAAAATCAAAAAGGAATACTACAGAAAGTGAAAACATAGATGAATTGCTAAGGATGAGTACAAAAGAATGGGACAACCATGTCGTGACAAAATCAGATAGGCCAAGACACAAAATAAGTTACATCTAGCAAGGGACATAAAGGCAACAAGAAGAGGTTATTTAAATATATTAGGAGCAAGAAAAAAACTAAGAAAATGTAGGTCCTCTCCTTAGCAGAGAAGGAGAGTTATTATGGATGACATTAAGAAGGCTAATGAGTTGAATGCCTATTTTGCTACAAGTTTCATGAAAAACGTTAATGATGTTCAGATACTCAACACAATTAGAATTAACAACAAAGGGGAAGGAATGCAAGCCAAAAGAGGGAAAGAACAGGTTAAAGAATATTTAGTTAAGTTAGATATATTCAAGTTGAAGGACAGGATTAGAATTTAAAATGACCTTGACAATGCAGAGAATTGGTCTGAATTCAACAGATGAAATTCAATAAAGACAAATGCAAAGTACTTCACTTGGGAAGGAAAACTCAAATGCAGAGTGCAAAGTACTTCACTTGGGAAGGAAAACGCAAATGCAAAACTACAGATTGAGCAATAAATGGCTAGTTGGTAGTACTGCTGAAAAAGATCTGGGGGTTATAGTGGATCACAAATTGAATGAGAGTGAACAATGTGATGCATCTGCAAAAAAAAGGCTAATATCATTCTGGGGCGTATTAACAAGAGTGTGGTACATAAGACATGGGAGGTAATTGTCCGGCTGTACTTGGCACTGGTGAGGCTTCAAATAGAGCACAGTGTCCACTTCTGGGTGCCCATACTTTAGGGAAGATGCAGAGAAATTGTTGAGAGTCCAGAGAAGAGCAACCAAATTGATCAAAGGTTTAGAAAACCTGACCTCTGAGGAAAGGTTAAAAAATTGGGCATGTTCAGTCTTGAGAAAAGAAGACTGAGGGGCAACCTGATAACAGTCTTCAGCTATGGTACGAGCTGTTATAAAGAGGACTGTGATCAGTTGTTCTCCAAGTCCACTGAAGGTGGGACATGAAGTAATGGGCTTAATCGGCAGCAAGGAAGATTTAGGTTAGATACTAGGAAAAACTTTCTAACTATAAGGGTAGTTAAACTCTGAAATAGGCTTCTAAGAGAGGTTGTGGAATCCCCGTCACTGGAGGTTTTAAAGAACAGGTCGGACAAACATCTGTCAGCGATGGTCTAGAAATACTCAGCCCTGCCTCAGCAGAGGGGGCTGGACTTGGTGACTTCTCGAGGTCTCTTCCAGCCCTACATTTCTGTGATTCTATAAGACGCAGTGTATTGGACGCAGCATCCGTGTGAGCAGAAAGAGTGTGTTTCAAGGCAAGATGAAGAGGATGACACTTGGTATACATGGTGAGGGAAGCGGACTGCTGGAATAGCAGGCAGTCCTGGTGTTTTCCCAGCTGCCAACCATCAGCAGTCCTCAGCATGATATGGAACCAGCCACGCCATTTGCAGAGCCCTGAAAAGTCTGGGCTAGTCACAGGGCTCTGAAAAGTGTATGGTTTATCTGGCCTTGGTTCCATTGCCAGAGAGTGGAGTCTGGCAGCAAAGAGAGGTCTCCCCTTCCCCAGGGGTGATTGGGGCCCAGTCTACTGGAACTAAAGGCTGGTCTACACTGGGGGCAGCGGGGATCGATCTAAGAGACGCAACTTCAGCTACTCTATTCACGTAGCTGAAGTCGAAGTATCTTAGTTTGACTTACCTGGCCATCCTCATGGCGGCAAGTCGACCACCACGGCTCCCCCGTCGACTCCGCTTACTCCTCCTGCCGAGGTGGAGCATGGGCCTCGATTTGGGGATTGATTTATCGCGTCTAGATGAGACGTGATAAATCAATCATCGATAGATCGATTACTACCCGCCAATCTGGCGGGTAGTGTAGACGTGGCCTCAGAGTGCCCCATTTGGCCATTTGCTAGGGCCTGATCCAAAGTCCATTGGATGGAGACTTTCCACTGACTTCAGTGGGTGTTGAATCAGGTCCTGCCCTGATTCATTGTGTCTTCCAGTGCTGGAAATGGCCCTGCCTGGAAATGGGATTCTTAAGCCAGGAGGCGGGTTTCCTAGCCTGCTGCTGTGTTCTTCAGAGGAGGTGCTCATGTCATTCCGTTGGGAAGGGTCACTCATATTCACCACTCAGTAACAGATCCCTGCATCCTTCCCTCTTCCACAGCTACCAGGGAGTCGGCCTTTGTCCACGCCATCGCCTCCGCGGGTGTTGCTTTTGCGGTGACCAGATCCTGCGCCGAGGGCTCAGCCACCATCTGCGGCTGCGATACCCGCCACAAGGGGCCCCCCGGGGAAGGCTGGAAATGGGGAGGCTGCAGTGAGGACGTGGAGTTTGGGACCATGGTGTCTCGAGAGTTCGCGGACGCCCGGGAGAACAGGCCGGATGCTCGGTCAGCCATGAACAGGCACAACAACGAAGCTGGGAGAACAGTAAGGCCATGCGGTTTCATTTTATTGAGCCCCTAAAAACATTTCCTTCCACCCCCAAAAATCCTAGGTGAACAGCAAGAAGAACCTCAGGTGAACTGGGTTCAACGTTGTAGCCCCCTACTTCCCAGTGTGTGTTATAGATTCCCCTCTGTGCCCGATCCACAGAGGATGAGAGTCTGCTATAGCTGCCAGCTATGGGTCTTAGGCCTAGATCCTCAAAGGCATTTAGGTGCCTAACTCCCATTGAGGGCATGCCTTTGAGGATTTGGGCCTTAGCCTGTTAGTTCAAGCCATGGAAGCTCATGTGCTCAGCTCTGAAGATCTTAGGTTCAGTACAAATGAAAACTAAGAGGATGGTCATCCCATGCAGACTTCCCTGTGCTCACAGCCTGGTTTCTGTGCCTCTTCAGGCCTAGCAGGTGCCTAAAATAGTCCCACATTTACTCTCAGTGCCTGGGGTTAGCACCAACCTGCCATGGGGAAAAGGGCTTGCTGTCAACTGAGCAATTTCAGGACAAGGCTTCAGCCTGTCCACCCAGCACACCTGCTTCCTAGCACCACCAGGAAACTTTCTTGGCTTGGAGCTAACTTCTACAATCCTCACCCCACTATATGCCTCACAAAAGTTGCTTCCTGTTCTCTCCCCCCTACAGAGAGCTCCTGGTTTCTCCTGTATAGGGACCAAACTTCATTAAATCATAGAATCAAAATACCTTAACCTGATCCTACTCCCTTATTAAGTTACAGAGGGTCCTGTGGCACCTTTGAGACTTTGAGTCTCAAAGGTGCCACAGGACCCTCTGTTGCTTTTTACAGATTCAGACTAACACGGCTACCCCTCTGATACTTGACACCTTATTAAGTTGTTATTCACAATGGGGGAAGGAATGGGGCCTGTTCACTTCCATAGAAACATGACTACAAAGTACTCACTCCTCCAATATAGAGTTCCACTACTGTATGTAACCACAATCCAGAACAGGCCAAAACCTCAGAGCGAGATCCTTAACTGATGGAGATGGGTGAAGCTCCATTGAAGCCAATGGAGTTATTCCAGTCTACACCAGCTAAGAATCTGGCCCGAGATGTGGAGCACAGACCTTTAAAATTCAAGATGAAGTCCCACCACAAAATGAGGGATGCAGCAATTAAATAGCAGAAGAAGGAAGCAAGACATATCGCCAGTGGTCATTTGACATAAAGTTGTCCATCGGGTCCTGGGTACTATGGGTTACTCAGCATTTCTGATGGCCGTAAAAGACAGGGATAAAGAGTACAGCCACAGGGTTGGGTAGGATGGAAATGAGGGATTTGTCTCATAATGGGAATCAATAAAAAGATACAATATTAGCTGTAAGTTCAACCATGACCATTTAGGCTCTTCTACGGGCTATCTTCATCTTCGGTCCAACCTCAAGATGCCGATCCAGTTTTAGGCACCTTACAAATATCACAGATCAGAGAGAAAATGGCAGAACATTAAAACTGAAATCCTGTTGCTTCAGAAATAGCATACATTTTTCATTCACACCGTGCTAACGCTCATTAGGTGCACAAGTTCCAACCCTCCGGATTCAAGTATTTCCAGCTAATAAAACTGAGCAGTAGGGGAAGTCTGAACCAATTTTCATAAGAATTCAAATCCAATCTCCAGACCAAAAGCTTTGACGGAGATTTGGATGATTATATGAACCAGACGTTTTGCGGTTCTCCCGTCGCTAATTACAATCTCCTTGGCAATGAATGAAGCT